TCTCTCTCTCTCTCTCTCTCTCTCTCTCTCTCTCTCTCTCTCTCTCTCTCTGGACAGTGAGCACTCTCGATGTTGACAGAAAGTGCCCAGACCTTGGCTCCCCTGATTGGGTTAGTTGCTGCTGTCCATAGCTCCCCTCGGCCATGTCCTTTCCACGGCGATTTGACAGGGGAAATTTAAGTGAAAATCAAAGCTTTCGTTTTCTTTCTTGCTGAAGACAATTGTACTTTCGGACGCGACAAATATACTGAATTTGAAGGTAAAGAATATCAAATCAAACCTTTAGCTTTCTTGCCGAAGACACAATTTACTTTAGGACGCTACAAATGCACTGAATTTGAAAGGAAAGAAAATCAAATCAAAACTTTAGCTTTCTTGCTGAAGACAATAAAATTGTACTTTCGGAACGCGGCAAATGCACTGAATTTGACCCGTGTACTCTTGCGTTTGTGTCTGTGCGTCTGTTTTTGTTTGTGTGTATTGTGTGTGTATGTTTGTGCGCGTGTGTGTGTGTGTTTAAGTGTGTATGTGTGTGTGTGTGTGTGTGTGTGTGTGTTTTCGTGTGCGTTCGCGTGCGCGTGTTCGTGTGCGTGTGTGTTGCGCGTCTTCTTTCCTCTCAAACATCTTGCGTCGATTTCCCTCCTTTTTTCTTTGTGTGTTACTCTATGTAAATCCTTTAATCTTCAGCACTTAATATATGACCTATTTGTGTTGCAAGTGCCCTACAACTCTTGATTAAAACTACCACAGCTCTTTATTCTTGAGTTTCGATCAGATTAAATCAACTGAGTATTCACAAATGGCAAATAATAATTCGAAATCGGTCTTAGTCGTGTATACTAAGAACGAGAGTCATTTAAACTTCCTGTGGCATCGTCTTTACCCTATACGTACGTCGTGTTTTACTATCGTATCCATACGACGTGGGGAACTCGGTGCCACCACTTTCAAAGAGAAAATTTACTCGTTAATCCAATCCGTACGCTTTGCATAGTAGTCTGTCAAAATAATTTTTTTCAGAAATACTGAACGTTTCAAAGAGATCTTCGTACTACAAGTATTCTCGAATGTGAAGAATACAACCCCGGAGGTACAAAATGTCCCACGGCGTACGAATAGGTTTAAGGGAAGTGTGTATTTTTACTTGTAAAATCTTCGTGATAGGCGCCCAGGTTTGAGGTCGGAAGAGGAGGATAAATGTGACCTGCACTTCCTCCCCCCTCTTAGATATGTTTAGTTTTTTGTTTAATGTAAGTAAAATCTAGTTTCAGGTGTGATTTGGGATGATGGGTGGTTCAAAGCTCTCTCTCTCTCTCTCTCTCTCTCTCTCT